ATTTTAAATAAATATTTCTTTTTATATACGAATTTTGTATTTCTCTTTCAAATTTCAATCAAGGTTATTGGCATAAAGCGTTACTGGGCGCCAGTTTTTAAATTTCAACTTTTTAACTTTGAATAATGTGCCAGGCATCCGCCAGATGGCGCCTGCAATTGACATTTTGGTGATGCCACTAGTTAACTAGGAAGTTTCGCTTCTCTTTAGTAACTGTTCCCTGGTGGCAACCTTATCTATTAAATGACTTTGCAACCTTATCTATTAAATGACTTTGACAACATACTAGCAGTGTATAAAGGTAAGCGACGCCAGCGCCAACGGTCTACAGCTGAACTAAAATAAAAAGTTGCGACTATGGGATGCACGTTATGACCTCCAGACGAAAATTAGCCAAATACACTGACGTCATCCGAGGTCACCAAGATGGCAGCGTTTGACAACTAGCTGGTTTTCTCATAAGAGTCAATGCTAATATTTTCGGAATTCATTTAAATTTGAGAGTGTGTCAACTGTGTTTTTATGGTTTGGTAAGTTTGTTACAGTTTCTACACTGTGTAGATATCTGTAAAACGCACCATAACGTTTGAATAGGCTTAAAAAATAATGTTTTCCAATGTGATGTACAGGTTAACTTCGCTGCATCTTATATCATTTGTTTTGCAAATTAATTCTTTGTTAATGTACATCAATGTTTTTTAAATACACTAGCATCTTAATATTATAATATTTTGTATTTTAGGAGAAAATGCCTAAATTTTGTGCTGTTGTGGGTTGCGCGAATCGAAGCACCAGAAATGCGGACAAATTTTATTTTCCTTTCCCAGCAATTAGCAACAATAAAGGTAAATATATACAGGATGGGAAAAAAAAAGCGGAAGCTTTGGTTAAAAGCCTTGAAACGAGTGGATTTAACGAAGCCAAAGTAAAGTATTCCTATATTTGTTCGGATCATTTTATTTTAGGTACAGTAACTACCTATTAGATCTACAGTTTCTAATAAATTACTACATTGATGCTCTTTTAGGTAAACCTGCAGATTTGTCGGATGTGTACCATCCTGATTATGTTCCATCACAAAATTTAGGATATCAAAATAAATCCACTCATAATACTTGTAATTTTGAAAGACACAGTTGCTTAAAAAAGAGAAAACTGAATAAATGCCTCTAGACTTTTGAATGCACGAATTTCATTGTGGGTTATTTTACTTATTCCAAAAATAAAAAATTTTAGAATGGTATTCATTGTTATGGTAGGGACATGGTCTAAACACAAATTAAAATCACTTGCACTCATTGTATAAGGATCTCCGCCGTTTAAATTGTTTAACTTTTGTACATATCTGTTTTTCTCTTTGAAAGAAAAACATCGTGCATAATCACTTAAATTATCCATACTTTAAAAACAAATCACACACCTTCACTTAAACCCGTCACATTAACCTCAAACGAAAATATTATTTTCCGATTTACCGCTTAAAACACACGGATGTATTTTGGGTGACGAGGAATTCAGACCAAAACAGCGTTCTGTATTTTTATTTTTATTATGTATTTTTAAACTCAAATCGCCAAAAAAAGCACCCTGATACACAGAAAAGATATGAAAGAAGCTATTCACGTGTTTATTTTCTAGATAAATACCTACACTTTTAAATGAAATGCGAAAATGTTAACATTGCCACTTATGGAGTTTCACGGCGCTTGTCAAACGCTGAGTTCCCGCCACAGCGTGACGTCACGTGTTATTGGCTAATTGAAAATCAAGCTCTGTGGCTCCTAGCGCCCCCTGGATGATTAAAAAATTATTTACAAGGCAAAACGTTTCTACCTCCGAAACCGGAGGTCAGAACGTTGTAGATGAGGTGACAACGTACTATTAGTATATACTTCGGAGGTAACAACATACCGTGCATACATATATATATATATATATATATATATAAAGCCATTTTAAATTTCGCGGTCTGTCAAATGGTGTTTATAATTCTTGTTTTTGTTAAGTTTCCGCCAGGTTTGCTCAGAGATATGGAGAAGGAGAATGAGCTTCCCCATGCGCAGACGAAATCCTTGGTCTAAAATTGAAAGCAGCCATTTTATCAGTTGACTGTCGCCAACATAATCACAAATCACTAACAGAACTTGATATCCCTAGACAATTGCTTCATTATTGGGCGGGAAGTTTAAAATCATTAATTACAATGACCTAATAATAAATCACAACTAAAATATATTTCACCTTAAACGAATAAATAAACATAATTATACTTCAATATATTTATTGATGCGAAAACAGTACTAATTATGTGTACACATGTCTAACAGAAGTGCCTTGAGCAAGACATGAAAGTCTTTTGCTCAAATGAAACATTCTTATTCGCATGTAGGCATTAATTATTTGTTTAATAAGAATATATAAATGGCCTTCATCGATGGCCACCGTCTCGAGTGCGTGGGTCTTCTAAATTAGGAAAAAGAATGCTGGCATGCCGAAAGTTTTAAAAAATTGTTCATCGCTTGGAAGTTTATCGGTGAGTTGCAAAATTTTTCGTATTAACAGTAACAACAAGTCTTCACAACCCCAGCAAAAGGTTTAATAAGCCCACCTAAAATCAAAATTTTGTTAAGACTTAAAAAATAACTATTGTAAGTATTTGATTTTACCCATGTTTTTTTTGTCCAATAATCTGTAAAAGTGTAAGTCACTTCTTCTTGTTTCAATACAAGAAGAAATGCAGTCTGCGCACTTAAACGTCTTCACCACCATTTTGACAACATAGCTACCAATATATGCCACGTTTTCTGCCACTTCACTCAGCCCAATAAACTTAGACGGTCATAGTCATGATCTGCAAGTGCTTCAGTCAAAATATCGAGATCATATTTTTTCAAGACAAACACGTCAACTGATTGTTGAACATTTGTGCTCTTTTGCTTTGGGCCAATGTTAACAGAGAGCAGACAGGTGGTGCAAACCACTTTACAATTTCCTCCTTCCCTCGTTATGTTTGTAAATAGAAGCAATCTTCTAAGTTTTACAAAATCGTAGAGGAGTAGGGTTATTGTTTCACCCATTTCTCGATCTGAAAACAGAAAAATAAATACAGATTTGTGTAATTCCAGTGCATAAAAAAGTAATACAATTGTTTTTTTAAAAGCTTACCGCACTGAGCAGAAGAAAATTTCTAGATGATCTTGACTACATTTATGTTAGCAAGTCATTCAACCTCTTACTACTAACAAATTCATCAAAAATTCCCATGAACGACGTAGCGGAAATAACAAAGCCCAGAATTGACGTTTTTCGGGGCGTGCACCACAAAGGGCCGCCAGTGACATCCTTCAAATTCAGAAGATACTCACTGGTGTCGATGAGAAATGGACGCCACATTTCTTCATTGTTTTCTCTCAAAGGTGCCTTAAAATTCTTAGCACGTACACTTTGGGAATTGAGAATATCAAATAAAGAATCTATCCTTCTGATGAATTCTATTGTTGTTTCACAACCTTGAAAGTCACTAATACCAAGATCTTTTAAAAATTCAAGTGCATCCGCAACTCTTGCTAAGAGTTTGTGCTGCTAAACTCACCTATAATAGAACTTAATTATTGTCAATAAGGAATATTGTCAGGAAAACAACTTACTTTCATTTTATGTTTCCATCACTCCAAATGTGCCTTTTTCAACTTGTTTGCAACATTTAGGAATTCATCATTTTGTAATTCATGTAGTTTCTTTATGTAACGCCAGCTTATCACCTTCCCTCCTGTCAGAACTACTTTTTGAGTTCTTGCTTTTACTTCCACTTGTACTGCTACTGCTTTTTCCATGGTATCTCTGCGCAGCACTAAATAATAATTATTAACAGTAGTAAAAAATTCAATATAATAAAATATTCAAACCTTAATGTCCTCTTTACACCTTGAGGTATAATCGATGGAGACTCTTCTCAAATATCAGCTGAAGTAGCACTCACAGTACTCATTGAAGTTGAAGAAGCTTCTAGACTTTCATCTAAATTCACACTGGGAATTGCGTTCGATTTCAATCGTTTTCACTCATTTACAACAATGAAATCAGTTGTTGTGAAATGATCTGAGCACACTAGCTTATACTTAGTCAGTTTGAAGCTGTCATCTTTTTTCACAACAATCAGCCACTTTTTTAAAAGTTTTCGATCTTTCGGAAACCTAAAATCAGATATAATAAATATTGATCACATAGTATTGCAATAACCAATTGTTATTAATTATAACTATCTACGTATTCGATTTTAATAAGATAATGAAGAAAACTTACTGATGAAAAGATACACCTTCTGAACGAAATCGTTGACAATTTTTACAGTGAGAAACTGTACAAGACATGTTTGTTGTCAATAATAATGTCCTTTAACACTAACAAGCACGTTCACACGTACACTAACGGTAAAACAAATTAAGTAATAATTTTAACTCCAAATTACAACTGGTTCAACAACGTCGTAACCTCGTAGGTAAACAAAACTTTAAGGTTAACTGATAAAATGGCGGCCCCCATAGTGTACCGATGCGCAGAAGTCGAAGCTCATTCTCCTTCTCCATATCTCTGGGTTTGCTCCACGGTGACGATACCACAGTAGATCAGTAACGAAACTTCAGCAATATTTGCGGAACGGGTGTGACCTTGGGAGCCCGTTCCCGGGAAACACGAAGATTCAAATATTTCGTAGCATTCGTATGTGATTCATATAATACTAATAATAATTGTACACAAAAATAAAAATGGTTGGCATGTATTAGTGACATTGGTCATTTTTTTTCTTTCTTATAAATTATTAATATATTCAAGCAAAACATTTTTATTCAATTTTGACGTTTTAAACTGCGTTTATTAAAGCCTTAACAAGTCTGACAAATAAGTTGTTATCCACAAGTGAATTGCAAAATTTTTAATTCACTCTTAATATTTTTAAATCACTCACAAAAAAATAAAAAACAATTTCAGGCACATAAACATTTTGCTTATTATTTTTAATAGTTTTCACAGAATACAATTTGTTTACAATTTTCACTAAAAGGTTGCTGCAACTAAATCAGTATTGTTTGACATATTTGTTTGGCTCTGTGAGGCGTCAATTTGGGAATTGTATAAATCCCACACCAATAGAATTCCAAAGAACGTTTCGGAAACTATTTACTACAGATTATTTCGATACAAGTGCAAGAACCAACTGTGAAACACTATTCTATTTGAAATGGAAAATTTGCTAAGGTGTTCTTTTAAACAAACTTCCACAACACATCTTCCCTGTATTCCGGCCTCTTCAACAATCATCAAGTGATGTGAGTTACCGGAAACTCACCTTGAAAGAACACAAATGGTATGTTTGCGGATACTCATTAATGCGAAAATTCTTACACCACCACTTCTGCGAAGTTTGTGTGAACCTTGCACATTCTTACGAAGTGGTACATCCTGTTTTAATTGTGTGACATTTTAAAGTTTTCAATGAAGATGTGATTTTTGGCGATTTAATGATGCCACCTGAACATTTTGCAGTTTATACTCCGGTAGTGGGTAATATATTTTGTGAGTTTTTCCCAATTTATGCACTGTATTCGTTAACTGGTTTGCGGCTAAAAAACGAACCATACAAAAATACCATTCCACCACCCCTGCAAAGACTTTCCTCTTGATTACCTCGTCTCAGTTTTTATTAGAGTTAGAATTTTTTACACACTAAAATTTAAAAATAAATCTTGGACCGCTCAAACACGCACACAGCGAAAATTAAACTATTTCGTTTAACCTGCAGTTTGTTGACCTCTTTAGCCTGGAATTTTCTAGTATTTTTTACATGTATCGTAAGACTGTGTCGTAAGTATCTATTACTTTGTTAAAATAAATTTTACGTTTGTTTTTAACCCCATAACCCAACATCCCGTATGATTCCGTAAATAATATGACATTTCTTGTTGACAAAACCAGACAAAACGTTCACCGAAAACCTTAAAATGAAAAAGAAACTATGTTCTTCAAGGTCGGAGCACCTTTAGTGACGCCAGTGACCTCTTTATGTCGTTCCGTAAGCTCCCCATGTATTTCCATGGCCGACTAGTATAAAGATTATGGCCTGTCCAAGAGGTACATAGATAAATAATACTACGTAAAATAGAATGCAAACTCGGCTGTAATGCGTGTCCCAGGTTTGTGTCTAGGCTTATGTACCGGCCACATAATAAGAGATAGCACTGATAGCAGTATAGTATATTATTAGCCAAGGTTGCAAGGCCAAGCATTCTAGACCGAGCGCAAATTAGAACCCGAGACGCGCAGCGTCGAGGGCTCTGAAGCGCGAGGTCTAGAAGTGGCTTTGCAACCGTGGTTAATATACTATTTTTTTTCCAAAAATTACTTGGCGACAACTTCCACAGCCAATTTTAAGAAACAATAAAAAAACTAATGTCATTTATGATTAGTATAAAAGTGTCATTTGTGTGATTATACGTGATAACAAAGCGTAAAATATGAAACTGTGCAGTGTTTTGAAATGTCTTGTAAGGATCCAATTCGAATTTTTAAATTTCAAACGAATTCCGCGCGCACAAGAAACGGTTAGTGAGAAGAAGGAGAGGTTGGCAACCAACCACCCCAAAGAAACAGAGATGCGCAAAGCGAGGGTGATATTGTCTTGAAAACGGTCACTTCCATAGAATACCCTCCCTTAGAACACGGTCTCTAATACTTGCGTTTTGTTCACTAAGAGCGCCTCTAGCACCAGGCTTAGGAACTAAAAGCGGCGCAAAATTTGAAAGTGAATTTTGCTGGTGAATTTTTTTATAAAGTGAAGGGGAAAACATTGTTTGTGAATTTTTATATGCTAGTTTCAAAACGCCTTAATACGTTTTGAGACTAACATACAAAAACACACAAACAGTTTAAAAAAATGATACATGTAAGATAGAATACATAGTATATTGAAACGTAAAAGTGATTTATAAATGAAAATATTACTATATAACAATAACAGTTCTTACGAAAATATATAGTATAATATATAAATATATATTTATAATATAATATTAGAAAAATAGCAAAAGCCAACGAAAAGCGCATAATACAATAACATTTCAGGTATGAAATGTTTAAAATTGATTTATAAATGAAAATACTGCAATATAACAACAATTTGCTAAAAATGACAGTGTGAATAAAGTGTTCTCTAATAACTTACATTAGTTACAATATATTAAAATAAGAAAAGAAACAGAATATGGACAAGACATTTTTAAAATACAAACAACCAGTAGAAATGCAAACTGCCTTTGCACTTTTCATTCATACCGTCAGAAATATCACAATTAAACCCAGCACACTACTTTCTTCCGATATGAACAAAACTAAGCTGATGTATAGCCTGCGAAATGCAAAATTATACAAACGTTCTCTTTCTTTTTTTAAAACGTAAATATAATTGTTGCATTTGTCTTTCCAGTGAAGTTGATTTGTTAGGCTCTTCCTTACCAAATACGAAATTGCTGAGTTTTTTCATGTATCTAAAGATATACACTCTTATAAATAGATGAAAAAGTTGAGCTTTCAGTTCTTCGGTATGTAAGCACTCCCGAAAATCAAAATCAACTGTAATTCGCAGGTGGCTTATTAACCTTTGAGAAAGAGAAGGATGATAAATTGCAGACGGAACCAAAATGACGAGATGATTATAAATCTTAATTAGAGTTTTAATCATCTCGACATTCGCGTATTGCAACCGTCTTTTTTCACCATCATACTCCTTCTGCACCACCAGACCATGATATTGAATGTTTGGGACGCCATCATGTATCAAGTTAAATCGACAGATTTCACAGTCAAGTGGTTTTGGCATGTGTTTAACTAGAAATCCGCCAATATAACCTATAACATTTTGGTCATAAAAATTATCCTCAGACACAGTATCAGGAACTGGTGGCGGCTTCCACTGATCTTCGATACACTTACGATTTATATCAAGACTAAGAAACTCTCTAATTGAGACCACAAATGACTCGTCATCTTGCTCACAATTAGATCCACGAGAATGATAGGAGCAAAAATTCTTCATCATTAGTGATTTATAAAATGGTACGAATGCTTTGCAAGACGGATTTGTATATCGTACTCCATATTGTCTTAATTGACCAAAAAAATTTTCTAAAGGATCTTGATTAAAAGCTCTTGCTGGGAAAGAGTTATAACCAAGTTTCTTTAGAGTTTCCTTGATAAGCATAAAACCATTTAAAGTACGATACCACCCTTGCAAAACTGGAGGTTTTGCTCGATCTCCAGATTTACGTGGTTCAAATCTCATATTGCTGAACATGCGTTTCCCTTCCAGCCAAAAACTATGATGAAGAGTGTCATCTCCTACCATTTGACGTAATTTCTTACCACCACAGTCTCCAAATCCTCCATTAACGCTGTCAAAGACAGAATCCATGAACAAAAACAAATTGCAAGTGTATCGAGCATCAGGTGGTATGCTTCCCCCTAATGCCCCGGTGGAACAGAGATATATGAACTTAGCAACAGTTGAGCTAAAGACCTGTGAAGCATAACGAACTTTCATTTTTTTGCCTCTTAAGTTAGGCTTCACATGGTCTATGGTGATCTTTGTCATCACTCTCAGGGTGTCACCCTCCGTATGATCCAAATCATATGCCTTTTCAAAAAAACTCCAAGAAGCTCTTCTCTCTACACCTGATTTTTCTACATAAAGCAGATCTTTGGTGAGAAGATTGTTTCGCATACTTTTTAGAAGATGAGGAGGATCAAAGAGAGGGATAACTTCGTGATCACCAATTCTTATCACATTCTCTTCAACTTCCTCTTCATTTCCCAAAATAGCACGTCGTTTGGTTTCTTGTAAAAGCATATTGATTGCGGCACTGTTTGTAGTACCTTGATCACAAACTGAAGCAATGATGTTTAAGCCGACCGCTGTTGCTTCTTTCACAATCTCTTTATAAAAACGGACAATGTTTGCAGCAGACATAGAGTTTTTGCAAAAAGCAAAAGCAACAGGCTGCTTCCACCTTTTGAAAATTCCTCTTAGCATAAATACGCAAACATGGTCTGCAATTTTTTCCGACCTTGTTGTACCGTCATCTTCAAAACCCACAACTCTGTCCTCACAAGGCAAGTAGTCGAGGTGAGGCTGAATGGACATTTCATCAAAGATGAGAGTACATAAATTGTACTTACTGTCCATTCTGCGACATACTTGCTTTCTGAGAACTTCGAAAATGGGTTTGTTGATACCCGGTTCTATTGGAACTTTATTTAGGGTTGCCCTCAGAGTGTCAATAGACGGCAGCGTAAACATTCTTGACAGAAGTTTATACGTTTTTGGGCCATGTTTCCAAATGGCAATGGCATCTACCTTCTCCTCAAACGTAAAACTTCTGCCTTTCGGTTTACGATTTACATTTCTAATCTGGCTGTTAAAAAATCTCTGCTGTAGGGGAGACAACCCTTCCACGAGATGAACCAGTTGTCGATCTCGCAGAAGTTGTTTAACAGAATGAAGTGCGCTTTTGCGCTTTTGTGCCTGCCTCTGCAGTCTCCCCACTTGCCTTTGCAGGCGTTTCGCCTCCACGTACAGCAGGGTTTCATTGCTGCTAAAATTGACGGTGGTCCCTTTGATCCCCAGCCGATCTAATATTTTTCCTGTAATGTACACGAATATGAATTAATTTCATCATTTTTAGTCTGTATATCAAAATACATACGTGGAGTCTTGGTCATGGACTTGGAAGTATCCACCGACTGCCTGGCAGGTACAAAGTTTCCAGCAAAATCTAAAAATGGGCAATATAAATTAATTATAAGTTAACTTAATAGTATACGAGTTGTGAAAAGACTTTTCTATGGAGGCGCGTATAATATATTTTGTTTTAATGAATTTGAGGTTGCTATGCAGTAAAAGAATTAGTACTGTACGGTTTGAAGGCGGATGCGAACTAATTTCATCATTTTTACTATAAAAATTAATAAAACACATACCTAAAATGTTTTATTTTATTTTTATTATATTTATTATTGGTAAATTTACCAATGTAAATATAATAAAATATTTTTTTGTCAATACAAAAACATTACAATCTCAAGTCGAAACAAAAAGGTGTTTCACCAGCCGAAGTTACGCCACTGCTTTTTTACCTGCTTTGACAGGTGTTGGCGATTAATGAACATATGACATATACGCACAGAAAAGCGAAGTGACGCCACGCTGCGGTACAAAAATGTTGTTTTATAAACAAATGATGAAGTTTTGCAATCCACCACAGTTTTATATTTTATCATTTGTAAAACATGGGGTCAAACATTACAGTTTCTTACCTATTTTTGGAATATTTTGTAACCCCGAAGGCCCAGCACCAGGGAGCTCATTGATCCCATCCTCTTCTGTAAGGTAAGTAATATTATTTTCTCTCGATTTATTTAATTTTTTTAGCACTACAATACCTGCTCCAAAATTCAGTTGTCGCACTGGAACGCCAGTACTCCATGCACTTCTACCCCCGAGAGTCTCCAGTTTAGTAGCTAAACCTATAAAGTGGAAAATAGTTAGTGCTATACATACTGAAATAGTTGCAATGGTTACTTACTTTGAGAACTTGGAGTTCGTCTCGTACGTGGAGTTAAATTTGCTATTGCATGAAAGTACGGGCATTCTTTTTCTGGAGTGAGGAAAGTGAGATCAATGGTTTGTGGCCCTACATTGGACACGTCGATCTGATCTGCTTCGAGTGATGAACGCAGTTCGTTATCATCTATAAGTAAAGATATCGTAATATTTGTTTTCTAGCAACTTTCAATTTGTTTACCTCGAGGAGGCAAAATGGTTGGTACTGCAGATCGACGCAGCCTTTGTGTTCCTGGTACATAATCCTCGGGTTGAAAATGCTGGAAACAAATGTACCCCCTTCGGTGAATTTGGTCGTGGGTCAAAACCACGAATTTTGGGTTATTCGCGGCTTTAACCCACGCGAGAAACCGATCAAGGCCCCGATTTGGGTGTGGAAACCTAAAGATGGGTTTCAATCTCGCAGCACATTCGTGTACAGAACATGTATGACTGCCTTGCATTTTTTTCTACAAAAATTGATAATAATAATAATATTGTAAAATCAAACTTATGTACTCACATTTGTAAATTAGACACTGAAATTCAATAAAATAAATTCACAAGTCGTTTCAAACACAAATCACGCAGAAAACCGAGAAAAACGTAAATGAACTGAGTGATTGAATGGTGATTCATTTGGGGTGAAAGTGATGACAAAGGGTAGAAGAGGAGGGGGTGTAAACAAATTTTAAAATTTTGAAAATCTGCGCGAATCAGCTTTTACAGATATCTTTTTATTCCGACCTCTGGCGGCGGGCTCTGAACCACGCAGTGAGAGGATAAGGTGAAGGCTATCTCATTTCAGGACCCCTGGTCACTTCGCTTTGACCGCTTGGAACGAACGGTCGACTTCTTTTCGAGCGCTTCGAGCAACAGGTTGTATTTTTAATTGTGAATTATTCTGTGCCTTTTGCTGTTGTGTTTTGTTTTTCCAGTGTTGATCTGTTCCATTGGAAAACCTAGCAGCCTCGTTGAGCCATTGGGTGTTCCTGATTTCTCATCGTTCTTACGACGAGGTTTTTGTGTTCCTGTTGGCGGTAAGCCGTGTCGAAATCTTCGCATCTTTGGAGAGGTATGTTTTGAACACCTGTTTGGCGGCGAATTTCAAGCCCCGACGATGCTTCTGGCCTCGTGACATCGACGCGTGCGCTTTTTTCCACTAATCTCGTTTTTTTATCTTTCATTTAAAATCCATCGCAGTAGGGCTTTACAGGGAGTGATTTCTAGTTCGGGCCATGCTTTATTTAGCTATATTTGTGAAATCTGTATTTTGGATGGCGGCAAACGAGTTGTTATTTTCACCGTTCTTTGTTCAGGCAGCGGCCATTTTGAAGCGTCCATTTTGTTTCTTTTAAACGAGCACATGTTTTAACTGAATCTATTGAACAAATTAACAAACATTGTGGGTCATGGGGGGACGTGCCTTCTATTCCTTTTATTTAGCCCATCGTTTATACAACGCCACAGGATTCATCGTATTTTGCATCGCATATTTTCGACGCCTATTATTTGGAATGACGAATTCGTCCAACGCCATTTTGCAACTGCAGATTGTCTGCCATGTTTGTTTATGTGTTTTGTTTGGGGAAATGTATGTGTAATAATGGCCCACAATGCAGCTAAATAATTTCACGTTTGAATTTTAACCAATAACTTGACTGGATACTAATTAATATTAATCACATGTAAATCTGTTAACTTTACACTCTTTCACCTCATGCAATTTGTCTTTGTCTCACAATTTAGCTTCAGTAATTTTCTTGGCTGTATAATTTGAATTGAATGTAAATTTCCATGCTCTACAGTTTTGACCTAACATGATATTTTATTTGCACAAGTCTATTTCACACCAGATCTTTGTTTTATAAATCCTTGCTAAGTTTTGATCATGTAAATGTTTTGTTGATGAATATTTCTATCATGTAAATTATCTGATGTCCAAATTTAATCTCAATTAAGAATCATTTGTTGTTGAATTTTCGTAAGAGTGTGTGGCGAATTTAAATGTTGTTTATTGCTCCTTGTTGAAACTTTAACACTTGTTCGGTTGTCATTTAATATTAGAGTCATAGAGATTGAACATTTAAATAGAATTGGAGGTAAATAACACGATAACACGTAGTGTCGGCGATGGGCGCAGTTCCTAGTTGAGGTAGCGGAATGTGTCGCGCTCTCTGCACATATGTGCAGGCTTTGAACTAGATTTCAGTGGGAACGGTCTTGACGACGAGGTAGTAGTTGACGAGACTTCACCGCTAGTTTTAGGCCGAAACGGCCTGCTTGGACAACATGTTCGTAATGGAGGGGTGATGTCTGGCAGGCTTGGTGTAGATAGAATCACCGTCGCGGGGGAAACCAGCCCAGACCGGGAGCTCCAAACTTCGCTCACGCTACGACACCCCCTCTGGGTATTTTGCTGTGCTCATAAATGAAATTGCTATATTTTGTTCTATGTTTGTTCGATCGCCACACTCTCATAATGATTCGGTTTCTGCCATCCAATTTACATATGTGTAGGTCTTGTGTTTGTTCGGTTTTCATATGTGTAGGTCTGTCAATTCGCGAGTGTTTTTCTTTCACATATCTTAAGGGTTTTGAAATGTAATAAAATGTCGTCCGGGAATAAAACCAAGGGGGTTTTTGCGCTGAGGGGTAAATCTTCGCAGCGTATTTCCCCCTGTGAGGGTGGTGCCGTTTCCCCCCCTCCAAAACAATTTCTGTTAATTATTTCTTGCGCTCTCGACAGTGTATGCACTTGTATGAAAGAACTTCTTCCCGCCATTTTTCAAAAGCAGAAAAAAAAAAACACAACGTAGGTTCTCATTTGTTAGACGATCACAGCCAAGGCCAAACTTTGAATTTTTAAATTTTTCGCGGGCCTTTCAAACTGTTTCAAGGTCAAAATTTTAAGGCGGGAAGTTTGGGTTATCACAGTCTAAACACTAAAATTATTAAACGCCATCGTTTTCCCAACCCCTACAAATACAACGAGCGTTTTAAAATTTGGTTGGAACGGACAGGGAATCCAAATTTAGGCAAATTAGATCCCACGAAAATATATAAAAATGGATATTTTCTTTGCGATGTACATTTTAAAGAAACGGATTTTGGCCCCAATCAAAAACTTAAAAATACTGCCATTCCTACAGTTCAAATTATGCATGGTAAATATTTGTGTGCAAGTGAATGCCATAGATAATTTTTACAATAATTTCAGATAATATGAACGACCCCGAAAGACACACCCATGATCCCGTAAACCCTATTTCTATACTGGATTCTCAAAAATTTTGTACTGAAGTATCTCGAAATTCCAGAAAAACCCTAAACGAAACTTTAAACCAAGAATCTTCTCGAATACTAAATTTACATTCAAATTCTAGGAATATTTCGCGTACAGCCCGTAGAAACAAAATTAAGGTAGCTTCGTATCGCCAACGATTGAAATTATACTCCAAATTTGAAGTAAAATTAGAAAGCAAAATTTTAAGTCAGGATGCTATAAATTTTTGTTTATCACAATTAAAAAGACGAAATGTCAAACCAAAGGGTCGCAGGTTTACCACTGAAGATAAATTATTTGCATTAATGTTTTATAAACAGTCTGGGAGATGTTATAGAAAAATGAGACAGATTTTTGCACTGCCTTCACGTCAAACAATTATGTCTATGTTGAACAAAATTCCAGTAGACGTTGGTATAAACAAAATAATTTTCGACAATCTTAAAGAATCTGCTTCAAAATTAAATAACCAAGATAGAATATGTGCATTAATTTTTGATGAAATGTCCATAATGCCCCACATAGAGTATGACAAATATACGGATACATTTTTCGGATTTCAAAATTTTGGATTTGAACAAAATTTACAGATAGCAGATCATGTTCTTGTTTTTTTCATTCGCGGAGTGTTTAAAAAATGGCAACAGCCAATATACTTTGCATTTTCTTTTTATCACGCTTTTATTAGCTTGGGTTGTATGTAACGGAATCTTTGAGCTTAATTTTCATCGGTTTCTAAAAGTCTGATCATCTTGAAACTTTGCACACGTCTCAAGGATCGATGACAATGCAATAATTTGATAACAGTTTCCCATTATCCTTATTAGGAGCGCCAGGATTTATAAATTCTTTTATGGATCCTGTGTAGTGGAGTAAAAGAGATAAAGCTAGCGCGCGATCTGCGCATGCCTGTAGTATCTGGTTTACTCTTCGTTGTAATAATTATAGTCTTGATTAAAATACAAATAACGGATATTAAATGAAAAAAACAAGAACGGACTTTTAATTAACTAAACGTGTGCAAAAATGGGTGATCGCATCTTAATTGTGTCAGTATATACCACGGTTATCTCTCTCCGTGTCGATTATACCGATCTATACCGATTATTTCTGTTTCAAGGACAATTTCTGCATAGCTTTGGTTTTACAGTCGGTAAAGAAGGAATTAATTATAATTAAAACATATCTAATCATGAATTCTCACCAACTTAAATAAAGATAACAAATTTTGATTCAGAAATACAAACATGGAGGAAAATTAACCATTTGGGGGGTAAAACTAACCACAATGATGAATTGTGTCCCGTTGGTCCGTGAGGGCGATTGATTTCGAACTAATTCCCGTTGATCGATCATACGGAGACCACTGAGTGGTTCTTTCTAGAAAAATCTAAATAAGTAATTAATTCCCCAATTTATGAATTTGTCGCAGACTAAAAAATGAAAAATAAATAATAGTTTAAAAAACTAAAAAAACACGCTTTTATTGCTAATCGAACTAAAAACTAGAAAATAATTTTTAATGACAGAGTTTAATATTACAGTAGTAGAAGATCAAACAATCAATCATAATAAATCACCTCAAATTAAAATTATAATAAAATTTAAGTTATTAACAGAATAATTCAATTCAGAGTAAAAAGCGTGGGGTGCTTGATATTTTAAATATTACAATCATTCTATTGGCAACTATCTATGAGAGGATAGTTATGAACCGCAGTAAAATGCACCCCACGCTTTTTACTCTGAATTGAATTATTCTGTTAATAACTTAAATTTTATTATAATTTTAATTTGAGGTGATTTATTATGATTGATTGTTTGATCTTCTACTACTGTAATATTAAACTCTGTCATTAAAAATTATTTTCTAGTTTTTAGTTCGATTAGCAATAAAAGCGTGTTTTTTTAGTTTTTTAAACTATTATTTATTCGTCTACAAAATCTTACATATTGACAACTATTATAAAAACTCTGGTTGAAAAAATACAAAATTGTGGATTCAAAATTCTGGTTACAATTTGTGATCAAGGCCAACCAAACCAAGCAGCTATAAATTCTCTGCTAAAGGAGTCGAAACAACGTTATATACATAAAGGGATGGAACCTAAAAGAAGAATTTTATTAGGGGATCAAGAAATTATTCCATTATATGACACGCCTCATTTAATTAAATGTATTAGGAACAATCTGCTTACTAAAAATTTAGTGTGGAAAACAAGCGAGGAAATTTTGGTTGCAAATTGGAAACATATAATCGATGCGTACTACAGTGATCAAACATGTGGAGAATTACGGGCTCTACACAAAATTACGGATCTCCACGTAATTCCGGAAAAAATTCAAAAGATGAAGGTGTGCTATGCGACACAAGTTTTGAGTCACTCAATGGCATCGACTATTACGCTATTGGTTAAATCTAGTAAATACAAATTTAAAAATAATTAACAGATTCATTTACAATTTAATTTTACAGCCGAATGCAGTTTAACACACGAGGCAATGGGAACAGCACGAATTATAAAATTTTTTGACAAGCTCTTCGACAGTGTAAATGGCAGTACTTTTCAACCACGGTGCGGAAAACCATTTTCTGGGGGCGTATTTAAATCTTCTGGTCATAAACATTTTTGGAAGGAAGCTATCAAAATTTTGGGTGATATGTATTTCGTCGATGAGGCCGGAAAAATGGTAGTACCTCCGTGTATAAAAAACTAGATTGCAACGTTAGAAGGTTTTGTGGATTTACATACAATTTTAGTAGAACAGGGCAGGTGCAAATATTTTTTACCTAGATGTTTAAATCAAGATGTTATTGAAAACTATTTTGGCAAAATCAAAAGCAACTAATCTAACGGCAGCCCAATTTAAGGAAAGTTTCAAATCTCTATTATTACGCAATTTTTATAGTTCAAATTCAGTGGGCGCAAACTGTGAGAAAACGAACATACCGGATTTATTTCATATTAAAAGACTTGTGGATAAAAACATAAATCAACCTTCAGTAAATGAAACGAGTTACGAAATTTTAAACATGAATATGTACATTTCAAAACTGTCTCTTTATATATTAGAAAAAGATCTTCATAAAAGTATTGTTGGTTATGTGTCTGGCTGGGTTGTGAATATTGTAAAACAAAAATTTTAAACAATTTTTCGGAAGACGAACAATGTTACAAATTAATACGTATAAGAGAATACAATTGTAATAACAGAAAATTGCAATATTGTAAGTTAGATTTTATAAAAAACATTAACAGAATTTATAATATTTCAAGAATCGTTTTAAACAATTGTACATCTTTCGACAACATCAAAAACAAAATTTCGTTTATAGTATCTCATCATGTCAAATTTTCGTTTCATTGTGAACATAAGGAATTAATTGAAAGTGAAATATGTAATAAAATTATATATTTAACAATTTTTACGTTTGTAAAAGGTTTGAATTTAATTTTAAGCGGTCGCGATACAAGAGTTTCCACACATAAAAATGCATTATATCAAAACGCTTGTATAATGTACCAAAAAAAATTAAAGTCAAAAAATCGTAGACAATACTAATAAATTGTATATTATTCTACTCTGTGTTTTTGATATTATTAGTGATAATAAAAATAAAATATTAATTATAAAATATGCAGCAATGACGCATCTAGTAGTTCATGCTTTAGCACCGGCCACAAGGCACCAGGGGGCGTTTGTTGAGACCAAAAATCAAGTGGGAGTTTGCATTCTATTTACGTAGTATTATTTATCTATGAAGAGGTACGATACGTGTTGCCATCTATTAATAATTACACTTAATAATTTAGCAAAATTTTAATTTGACTTGACATTATGGGACTTCAAAACGTGTAATGGTGGTTTGTTTCGGTATGAATGCCTTTGTGCCTTTCAAAAAGTGTTAATAATTCTTTCGTCGTTTTTGAATTATTAATAGATGGCAGCACGTATGGTACCTTTGGCATTTCTTTGGACAGGCCATAATCTTGATACTAGTCGGCCATGGTATTTCTTATGGAGTCAGCTGAGACTTTCATAGCCCTGACGATACTATGTGTTTTCTAGGTGCTGTACGTTTAACTATATAAAAAGCTCCTGTTAAAGAAATATTGCAAATTAAAAACAACATTATCCATCCATGGCCGACTAGTATAAAGCAGGGGTATGAAACTGACATATAGAAAATGGAAACAAGGAAGCGGAAGGTGCCAACCCAGAGCCGGGCGGTGAAGGGGTGATGAGCGCGCGATTTAAAATATGGCAAGCCGATTTGACATTTGACAGAACATAAACAGTGAGTTTTGGTTGGTTTTGGCAGTCGAATAGTTTGCCGCCATCCTCCGCCATTATTGTCAAAGTCTAGGTTACGCGTCGGTTATCGGTTACCTCGTGGTGTTGTTCTTGCGTTGTTATTGTTGTTAATGTGATAGAAGTGTTGTGATATTGTAATAAATAAATAAATATATAAATATAATATTATAAGGTAAGTTGGTACGAACAGGTACTACTCTTGTTTATCTGTATTTTTGTCGGTTTCAGGGAGAGTTTAAGGTTTTTTATCCACGCTTCGAGGACCATCTAAAAAATTTGCAGGGGTCTCTAACGAACTAGTGATTGAAGTTTAAAACAAGGTAAGTTGGTACGAACAGATACTACTCGTGTTTATTTGGATTTTATTGTTTCAGGGGGACTCATGATGGACTACATTGGTCGCAAGAAATTTTGCTGCAAATATCCAGGGTGCAACAACTGGTATTACAGCAATACGTCTACAGACTTCGTCAACAAACATTTCTTCAAATTTCCAAGAGGTGATCGCCAGGAAGCTTGGAAAAATGCTTGTAAGATAGATTTTCCAATAAATCCAAGCTCTTGGCGCATTTGTGAAGACCATTTTCGAGATGCTGATTTTGTAAATCAGAGAAAGGAACGTTTGAATTTTAATGCAGTTCCAATTTCGTTAGTAAATGAAGGGGTTTCCCAGGTTGAAAGTTCATCATTTTCATATGAAATTAATGGAACAAGCCACTCTGCAATTTGTATTTGTCACCAACCTTCAAGTTCATTGATCAAATGTCCTTTGCATTTCTCTGATTTACAAGACAGTGCAATCAGTAATGAAGTTATAGAATATTCTGCTTTTGATAATTTTATTCTGGATCATAATTATTGTGGAAATCCGCAGAATAATCAATTTGTAAATATTTTTTACGAACATGATTATTGTGGTGCCATGACTGATTATGATTTAGATAAAGATTCTCAAGACCATAATAATATAACTTCTCTTCATAATGAAATCCCCGTCAACCTTAACAAATTCGATTTTTTGACCGAAAATTCAAACAAGTCTGGCATATTGTCCAAAATTGGTCTCTCAGTCAAAGAATTAACTCCTAGAAAAGCAAAAATGTATGAAATTAATCGTAATTTAAAATCTAAAATGTGTAAATTGACTAAACTTTTGGAAAAGGAAAGAGATAAAGTTAAAACTTTGCAAACATTATGTGATTCTGGTAAATTTAAATTCATTGATGAACATTTAAATTCAGTCAATAAAGATTTTATTAATTCTCAGATACGCAACTCTTCACAAAAGCCTCATGCACGCAGGTGGACAGATCAAGACAAAGCTTTTGCATTGGCTTTGTATAAAAAAAGTCCACGTGTTTATAAATTTTTGCAAATCCACTTTCAGTTGCCCTCTTCAAGGACACTAAAAGGTTTATTGTCGAATATTCAGTTTGAGACAGGGGTTAATCCTGGAATTTTGAGACATTTAAAAAATCAAGTCGCGAAAATGAAGGCACCAGATCGTTTTTGCTCATTGCTATTTGATGAAATTTCTTTAAGTGGGGGCTTTCATTATGAAAAGGTGAAACAATACATCAGTGGCTACGAGGATTTGGGTTCACTTGGGCGAACAAACAGGGCAGCAAACCATGCTCTTGTTTTCATGGTTCGGGGAGTCAGACGTCAGTGGAAGCAAGTCATTGCGTATTATTTCACCTCACATACTGTTTCAGCAGAAAATTTGAGATTTCTTATCATAGAAATAATACTGCAACTGCAGGAAGTTGGTTTGACTGTAGTTGCTACAGTTTGTGACCAAGGGCCTACTAACGGTGCTGCAGTAAACCAACTTTGCGGCAAGAATCCGTATTATTTCTACGTTAACAAATATCGAATTGTCACGATTTATGACGTGCCACATCTGCTAAAAATCACCAGAAATGCATTGTTAAAATGCAAAATAGAATTTGCTCCTCACAAATGCGCCAAATTTGAACACATCAAGAATGTCTTCGATTTTGACCAAAGGAAAACTTTCAAATCATTGCCAAAATTAAAGGAGGAACACTTCAACTTTGCAGATTCTTATGTGAAAATGAAGGTCAAGGTTGCTGCTGCACAGCTTAGCAGTTCAATGGCAAGTGCAATTGAAACGTACATTGCATTGGAAGTTTTGGAACCTGAAGCCATTTTCACTGCGGAATTTGTACATAAGATTGACACTTTGTTCGATTCACTAAATAGCTCGAGTAGCCAAGTGTGTGATCACAAAATTTTTAAATCCGCGTTGCATAAAGGATCACCACATTTAACATTTTGGTCAGAATTGCTGGAAGAACTTGGCCATTGGAAGTTGATTCATTTAACAAAGAAAACTGACGTCACAAATCGGTATTATTTTGTTGACGGATGGCAAACTATTATGATTATCTGGTTTTTATTCTGTAAAAACATTGAAAAACAAAAATTACTAAATAACAACACTTACATTAGCGACCTCTAGTGGTTCACATTATTAACTTTAACATGATATTTGGTTGCCTACCTCTAACACTTTCCCTTATCATTTTAAAATTAATCTCTTTGAAACATAACCTCATTCTATGAATTCTTAACAAAAATAAAACGAAAACCTATCTAATTGAGTCCCATCTGATCACAAAGTATTCTTAATCGTGTTCTGGGTAACGGCTTAGTCATTATGTCTGCAAGCTGTTCTTCAGTTGATATTTGCTGAATTCCTAAATTTCCTTCAATCACTTTTTCTCGAATGAAGAAGTGCTTGATGGCTATGTGTTTTGTTCTGCGATGAAACTCTGGATTTTGGGCTAGTCTCACCGCTGCAGAATTGTCAACTTGAAGAATGGGAACATTTTTCAACCTTGAAATTTCATTGAATAATCTGCTCAACCAAATAACTTCTTTGGTTGCTTCGTTGGCTGCTACAATCTCTGCCTCAGTTGTTGAAGTAGCCACAAGTGCCTGTCTCTGACTAAGCCATGTAATTGCTCCACCTCCATATTTAACAACTACTCCTGAAGTTGATCGACCGGTTTTTGTGCATCCTCCAAAATCTGCGTCACTGTAACACTCTAACTTGCCTGTTTCTGTTTTATGGCTGTAAACTATTCCCAGGTCGATAGTTTCTGCAATATATCGGAATACTCGTTTAACTCGTGCTACGTCGTCTGTGGAGGGATTTTCCAGTGACCTTGACGGGAATCCTACACTATAAGCCAAATCTGGTCTTGTACCAAGCATTAGATACATCAAAGCGCCAACTGCTTGCCTATATGGAAAATTGTGCTTCTTGACATCATCTTTCCCTGTTTGCGATGTTTCTGGACTCTTCAACATTGGTGTTGAAACCGGCTTACATTCTAGAAAGCCAAAGCGTTCAAGGATCTTCTTTGCATAGCTCTTTTGACTTATCTTAATGTTGCCACTTTCCTTTTCAATTTCAAAACCCAAAAAATACTTAGCTTTCTTTGAGACAATCTTGAATTCTGATTTAAGCTCTTCAAGAAAATCTTCCAAGTCTTGTGAGTCTGTTGCTGCAACCAACCCGTCGTCTACGTATACAACTAAAATGAGCTTTTTGCCGTTTTTCTCTCGAACGTACAAACACGGATCGGCTTCACTGACCATGAATCCTAATTTTGAAAGGAAAGTTCCAAAACGTTTGTTCCAACATCTTGGAGCTTGTTTGAGCCCATACAAACTCTTCTTAAGTTCACAGACCCTGGTTGTGCCGTCTTCATATCCTTCTGGTTGTTCCATGTAGATAGTTTCTTCAAGTTCTCCATAAAGAAAAGCTGTAGACACATCAAACTGTACAAGTTCCATCTGCTCTGTCGCAGCAACACTCAGGATTGAACGAATCGTTCCTAACTTTGCTACAGGACTGAAAGTTTGACTGTAGTCGATGCCATAACGCTGACCAAAACCTTTGACAACTAGTCTTGCCTTATATTTGTCAATGGTACTATCTGGATTTGTCTTTAAACGAAAAACCCATTTACACGGAATTGCTTTGGCACCCTTTGGTAGTGGGATCAGTTTCCATGTCTGGTTTTCTTTCAATGCAGCAATTTCTCTGTCCATGGCTTCTCGCCACTTACTACTCTCTTTGCTGTCAAGAGCCTCTTCAAAAGTTTCGGGATTTTCGATTCCAATAACAAATTTCTCTGCTGTCATGACGAAGTCTTGAAGGTGCTTTGGTTTTTCGAGAGTTGAACGATCTCTTAAATATCGCCCTGTCGACTGTTGACTTTTCTTTCCTTCTTGATCTTCAAATTCAACGTCCGTCTCAGCCTCGGTTTCATATTCGTCGTTGCTATTTTCTTCTTTTATAAAACCTTCTTCACTCTCGTCTGCTACCTCTTTTCGTTCTGTATTTTCGATAGCATGCCCTTTTTTAAACTCAATGTGTTGGAATGGTACCCTGACTTTTTCTTCACAATCTGTAAGTTTCTCTTGAAATCTTACATCTCTGGATAACACAACTTTATGCCCTTCTTCTAGATATATTCTGTAGCGCTCGTCACCGTCGTAGCCCACCAGATATCCTTTTTCAGCTTTCTCGTCCATTTTCCTTCTTTTCTCAGCTGGGACATGAATAAAGCATGTAGAAGCGATTATACGCAGATGTTTTATTCGTGGTTTCTTACCCATCCATAGCTCATATGGGCAAACTCCTTCTTTTGACGATTTTCCAGTTCTATTCAGAACATAGATTGCCGTATTTACCAACTCCGCCCAAATTGCCTCTGGAAATTTCACATTTGGATTGGAATACTTGAAAGTCCTTGCCATCTCGACTATTGTGCGATTTTCACGCTCACTTCCACCATTTTGTTCAGGTGTGTATGGTGCTGTCAATCTTAGTGTGATTCCGTTGTTTTGTAGAGTTTCTCTGACTTCTACATTGTCAAATTCGCCGCCATTATCGCAGAGCAGCTCTTTAATTGAATGGCCTTGCGCTTTTGCATGTGCTAGCATCTGTTTAAGCACATTCTTGACTTCCGATTTCTGACTGAGAATGAAACCATAGCGGAACTTTGTGTAGCTGTCTCTAAACACTACCAAATACCGCTTCTTGGTAAAGGATTCATCAAACGGTCCACATACATCAGCTGACATCAACTCTCCAGGCTGTGTGGCCCTCTTTCTTGTACCAAATGGCAGTCGATGTGCTTTGCCATAGATACATGGCTCACAGAGTTCTTTGTCTAATTTAACTTTGATGCCTACTTCTTTCTCAAGCATTTCTTTGACGTGCCGTTTATCTTGATGTCCCCACCTTTCATGATAAAGCTGTAGCATTGAGCTATCTGCAACAGCAACATTTACTTTTGTGTCACTTTCAGGAATAATTGGTTTGATGGCTGCCTTATACAATGTTCCATATACTTTACGATCTCCACATAGTATTACTTTACCATCAACTTCCAGACTGCACTTGGTAGCTGTCGACTTAAACTCGCTGCTTGGATTTCTGTCTTGAGCTGCTAAAACAGAGAATAGGTTTCTTGAAATTTCTGGAACATACCATACGTCTTTTAACGTCATCTTCAGGTTTCTGCCTTTTACTTCTGATAAAATTTCAATTGTCCCCTTTCCAAGAGCTTGTAGTTTCTCGTTTCCAGCAGCCTTTATGCTGCATGGGTTCTCAAATTCTTTAAACTCAACAAACAATTCTGAACGATTTGTAACATGTCTTGTTGCTCCATTGTCAACCCACCAATCTGTGATATTTGCCTCAGCTGCGCAAACTTCGTTGCAAATAGAGAAAAGAGCTACTTGAGTATTACATGCGCTAGTCTGAGCGTCACCTTCTGTCTTGTTTTTCGCTGGTCTTCCATCAGAAATCCATTTCTTGCAATCACGAACCCAATGTCCTCTCTTTTTGCAGTAATTACATTTGTCTTCTTTTCTTGACCACTTATTATTTGTTTTAGTTTGGCTCCCTTGTCTCTGTCTATCTGATTTCACCACTAACGCCTCTTGAACAAACTTTTCGGTGTCCTCACTTCTTCTGAAATTCCTTTCAAACATGCACAGTTGCATGGTTAACTCGTCGAACGTTCTTGCTTCATCCTTAGTTAACAGCATCCAACTGGATCGAAAAGATTCAAAGCTCTTTGGCAAAATATGCAAGGTTTTGCATACTAGCATTAAATCTGGCAGCGGATTCTCGTTTTTAGCTGCGAGTCCGATGTTTAACTCGTTCCACAAACTTTTTAGCTTTGCAATGTGCGTAGACACGTCTTCGTTTGGCGTCCAACTGAATGTGAAAAAGTCTGTGCAGATTTTGAATAACTGATCCTTGGACGTGGCCTCAAACTGCTGCTTCAACGCCTCCCAGGCGTCATGGGCGGTCTCTTTGTCCATGATTTTATGGTAGACTGCATCAGTAACTGTGCTTGTAATAATTGACTTAGCGTAACTGTTGGCCTTACGATACAAATCACTCTTCTCTTTGTGATCTTTGATTTGCGCTTCTGTGGCGCTCTGTGGTAGAGCCCTTGGCTTCTCTAGTTTGTTGTCAATTATATCTAAAGTACCTTCGTGATAATCCAGCAAGTCTCTAATTTTTCTTTTCCAGATCGGCCAGTCTGCTTCACCTACTAGTGGCTTGATATGCTTCGTTAAATCCATTTCTCTCAATTGATTTCAACGATACTATGTAAAAACTCTTCTTATTTTTACAAAACAAACTTCGGCGTAAACTAAAACGTGGCTGGGGCTCATAACCTATTATGATTATCTGGTTTTTATTCTGTAAAAACATTGAAAAACAAAAATTACTAAATAACAACACTTACATTAGCGACCTCTAGTGGTTCACATTATTAACTTTAACATGATATTTGGTTGCCTACCTCTAACACAAACAACCATTCGTTCAGTCATCTTCCTCTGGAACAGTTTGAACAGTCTTGATGGATTCAGTTACTTGAATTTAAGGGCCTTCAATCAAGACCCTCTGGAAAATTTATTTTCAAGCATCAGACAGCATGGAGCAGCCAACACCAATCCCACATGTCACCAGTTTACTGCAGCGTTAAAAACTGTAGTCGTCAACAAATTAGTATCACCAACTAATGTTGACCGCAACTGTGAGGCTGATAGGTGTGCTCCTTTAGACGACCTCTTAAGTTTGTTGAAAACTGTTGACAATGACAGCAGCAAGTTTTCCTCAATTGAAAATAGAGATGATGAGGATGATGAACAATCAGAGACACTATTAAATTTTAATATTTCAGAACTTGATGATCTTCCTCCCGAAGATGTTCAGGGACTGGCCTATGTTGCAGGTTGGGTATTAAAAAATATTAATGTCCCTGATTGTCAGAAATGTCATAACATCTTATATTCAAGTGAGGTAACAAATCGCCATCTCCTAACTTCTTTCAGGGAAGTTGACTGTACTCAGAAATTAACTTATGCTAGTGAACTTGTAATGTCCTTGCTCAAAAACATACATGATTGTTTGTATGA